CCCTCTCTCTCCCTCAGCTCCAGCCAGTCTCTCTGACTCTTCACTCAGCCCAGAGCACTCTCCCCACCTGCATCTGATCCCGCTGGTTCACTTCCTCAAACTATACCTTCTCAAGGAGGTCTACCCTACTTGCTGCAACATGCCTGGCACCACCCAGAATCCCCTGCTCCCTGCAGGTTCCCAAACTCTTGTCACCTTTTAACCTCCTTCCTTAAGCGTATCCTCTGTCTCCCTCACTAGAGCACAGGCTCCTCCAGCAGGCCACAGCCCTTTGTTTAACCACTGCTTTCCTAACTCCTGCAGGGTGCCTAGCACACAGCAGGCACTTTCTTCAGGTGTGCCAGGGTCCAGGTACAGCTGTGTGGTTCCCCAGAGGCAGCTGGGGCTGTGGGATTCCCTCATTCCTGGCTGGCAGCTGTGGCAGTGTGTTGTGTTCTACAACTCAGTCGAGCTTGAGTCTCCACCCTCCTGATTGTGGAAGAGGGTGTAGCTCCCTCACCATCTGTTCTACAGGGTTCTGATTCCTGGATGCTCAACCTATGGCTCATTCCTGCAGCCTTCCAACGAGTCTATAAACTTCTCTTCCTGTATTAACTCTTTCTGCTTAGAATACCTAGAATGGTTTCTACTTGTCCAGTGAAACCTCATGCACGCCCTGGAATATACACAAGATAAAGTCTCCAGGCCAACAGTGATCAAGACTGCATTTTTCTTTTTCTTTCATGTAAGCTTTCTAGATGTAAAGACTGCATTTTTTTTCTGACTAGATCTTAAATGTAGATGAGCCAAATAACAAAGTCCAACTTCTGACTCAGTTTTTGGGGAGACAGATCAGTGTTTACCCCAATGGAAGGGAACAGAAGAAATGCTTCAGAAGAGCTGAGGCAGAAAGTGGCCACGGCAGAGGGCTCCTAAAGCTAGCATCCCATCACCATCTCTGTTTTTTCAGATGATACCCCTAAGACCTGAGCCCCTTCTGGACCCCACACTCCACCTGTAGAAACTTCAGTGGGGCCTTGTGTGGCCGAACCACAATCCAAGAGACGTGTTCACATCATTTGTCGCTAGCCACCGCCATCTCGAGGGGAAATGCCCCAAATGTGGAAGTATCTGACACCAGGACTGGGGGCTGGAGCACTGGATGAACAGCGTGGGTGCCACTCTTTTACTGTGTACTGTCCTAAGAAAGAAAACCCTTTCCCTTTGAAGAGCCTAGTGCTGAGTGCCCAATTCAATTGGACCACGCAGGGCGGCCTGAGGATTAAAAGATGCTACCTTTAATTCCTTCAGCTAATTCAGAAGTATGTGAAACACAAGATACTCATTAATGTGGAAGAACCGGATGTGTGTGCTTGTGGGTGCATATTATTTATTTTTCAGAGACAAGGTCTCTCTATGTTGCCCAGGCTGGTCTTGAACTCCTGGACTCAAGTGATCCTCCCACCTCAGCTCCAGAGTAGCTGGGACCAAAGAATTGTACGTATTTTTGAGTGAGATAGAGTACACGGTAAAACCACATAATTTATATCATTATAAATAACATACAAAATTTTAAAGGCTGAAATAATATACATGAGCAGTCATAAAATATAATGAAATCACGTCCTTTGCAGCAACATGGATGGAGCTTGAGGTTATTATCCTAAGTGTACTCAGAAACAGAAAATCAAATAGCACATGTTCTCACTTATAAGTGGGAGCTAAATAATGGGTACCTATGGACATAAAGATGGAAATAGCAAACACTGGGCACTCCAAAAGGGGGTGAGTAGAAGAGGGGCAAGGGTTGAAAAGTTACTGAGTACAATGTTCACTATTTAGGTGATAGGTATGACAGAAGCCCAATCCCTACCAGTACACAATATACACAAACATGCACACGTGGCTGGGCGTGGTGGCTCATGCCTGTAATCCCAGCACTTGGGAGGCTGAGGCAGGTAGATCACTTGAGGTGAGGAGTTCGAGACCAGCCTGGCCAACATGATGAAACCCCCATCTCTACTAAAAATACAAAAATTAGCCGGGTGTGGTGGCACGCGCCGGTAATCCCAGCTATTTGGGGGGCTGAGGCGGGAGGATCACTTGAACCTGGGAGGCAGAGTTGCAGTGAGCCAAGATCACACCACTGGGCGACAGAGTGAGACTCCATCTCAAAAAACAAAACAAAACAAAACTAACATGCACATGTACCTGCTAAATCTAAAATAAAATAATATACACTAAAATGTTAAAACTGATTTTAGTAGAATAAAAGGTAACTAAACATTTTAAAAAGCTAGGCCTAGATAAATACTTAATGATTTTACATTGTGGTATTTTTTGAACATGGCAACAGCTACTATGAATTGTCTATCCAACTGCCACTCCAGCTTCCTCCCTACTAACAAAACCCCAGCTCAAGGGCAAGTGTGCTCAATGCCAGGGGACGCACAGGGGATGCACCAGTTGACCCATCCCCCTTTGCCAGGGCCCGGTCCGAGAGTGGGCATGTAGCCCACTCTATAAAGAGACAAGGGTGGCCGGGCGCGGTGGCTCAAGCCTGTAATCCCAGCACTTTGGGAGGCCGAGACGGGTGGATCACGAGGTCAGGAGATCGAGACCATCCTGGCTAACACGGTGAAACCCCGTCTCTACTAAAAAATACAAAAAATTAGCCGGGCGTGGTGGCGGGCACCTGTAGTCCCAGTTACTCGGGAGGCTGAGGCAGGAGAATGGCGTGAACCCGGGAGTCGGAGCTTGCAGTGAGCTGAGATCTGGCCACTGCACTCCAGCCTGGGCGACAGAGTGAGACTCCGTCTCAAAAAAAAAAAAAAAAAAAAAAAAAAAAAAAAAGAGACAGGGGTGAGGCTGCTGGAGCTGCTGACGGTTCTTCCCGGATAAGGACAGAATAAGAATGCTCCTTTACTACTGTCCATTCTGGCTGTGGACGTCATTTGGAGAATGATGCTTGGCACAGGAGCCGCCATTCTGCAACACTGAGGATGGCAGAGCAAATGGTTCCAAGGAAATTGTGATGACATTTTGGCTTCCACCCAACTCTAGAACTATCTATTTACAGACTTCTTGCTATGTGAGATAAACATTCCCATTGCTTAGGCCACCGTCAGGCTAATTTTCTGTTACTTGTGCTGATCACATCCCGTTATAGGCAATTATCTGCCTGGCACTGAATAAATGCCTCATGTTCACTCTAACTTAAAAGCAACCCTATTAAGCTACTAGTGTCTCACTCTTACATAAAATAAATAAAATCAAGCTTAAAGAGGATAAGTGATTTTTTTCCAACCCAAGTTACCGGTGGAGTCAGATTCAAACCCAACCGTGACTCGACAGCCCGGACTCTGCCACTTAATCATGTAGTTAGAAAAGTGTGCAAGCCTATTGTTCCTTCTTTCTGTACTTCACAGAACGCGTATACACAGATGCAAGTAGCAGCAAATTTGCATCCACTTGCACTCATGTATGAATTTGGCTTTGGGCTCTTCTCCTCTGTCATTTGTCTGTATTCCTTGGTAGAAATGCATGCCTCACAGGCCCGACAAAGAAGGCGGACTCTCCTCTCTTTACCCACACTTATTGATGAGACCTAATTTGTGCATCAGTGATCTAGAGACAGGTTGTGCGGACTTTGATACGGAGTCATAAGGTTCAAGCCAAGACATCTGAACGGGCAAAATGAACGTGAAAGCAGTACAGGTTCTTCCTCAAACTTTCCTGGAAGAGTCAGAAAACTGAAGATTGAAAAACACCCAATATCTAACATCAGGCCATTGAGTTCATCCAAAAAAAGCAGAAGAGTATTTCTGAACCAAAGAAACAGAACAGAGAGGATGAGAATGGAGACCTGCTGGCTGTGCATCAGCTATTTAAAGGAAGAAAGGCTGGAGCCCAGAACTAACCAAAGCTTAGCCTTCAACCAAACAGGACTTCCCGGCACAGGTTTCCAAGGAACCCTTTCTGCTCCAGTCCTCTACAATGTGAAGCGCCCAGAACAACACTATCCAATGGAGCTGACATGAGCTTCAGCGCCGGAAAGGGCGATGTGGTCACCAAAGAGTCAGTCAGCCTCACAGCTGCTGGCTGGGCAGGTTGAGGGCTTTATAGGAAAAGCCCAGCCTTGACAAATGAGTTACAGGCTTGAGGAACTTGGAAAAGGAAGGTGAGCCTGAAGGAAGATGTACCCAAAATCTAAGGGGCCACTAGGAATCAGGGATGGGGGTGGAGGGGAAACGGTTCTTCCTGGGCCCCTGTGGTTCATACTGTCCCAGAGGCCATGTGCCACGACACCAGCAAAGGGAAGCTGTGCCATCAGTGTCTAACAGCCACACAGGCCGCCACATGAGACTTTTTTCTAACCTGCAAATGTCTCCCCAGCTGAACCAGGGAAAATACCAGCCCTACTGTCAAGACAAGAGGAGAAGCTATTCCTCCAGGGATAACACAGTACGATGACCTGGTAAAGGGAACAGGATCACAGACCCAAAAAAGTAACCCTGAGTAGGTGGCTCTGGCAGTGCTAGGACAGGAGACAGAGGCTGGCCTCTGAAACCCGAAGTTTTTGAAGTGGGCATCATCAGCCAAGTGTCAAAGAGGCCATTATTCAATATATCCCTAACTTCTCTTACCAAGGGTTTAGTTGTGTTGTTAGCAATATATGACTCCAACTCATACATGAGTAATAACTGCAAAGGAAAGAGTACGGGGAACATGTCTTGGGCCCAACATGTCCCCCAAAGGCTTTTGCAGGGTGCTGGGAGGAAGTCTCTGACTTCTTCCTTTCTGTTACCTGCAGCGATTACAGTAACTCACACAGGAGGCACCTGGCTAACACGAGCCAGGAGAAAAAGGCGTAGAACAGCCTGACACCATAAATTTAGGGCATCAGGCCCAGGGTGAGGACAGGATATAAAACAGGAAGGGGCAAGAGTGGGGACGGGAGAGCTCTAGTCACTGCTTCTGGGAGACTTGAAATCTCTATTTTGTTTGAAAATAGACTCAGGTAGAGAAAAAGGACATGAATATTTATTGAGCGCCTGCTGGTTCTGGCCTTGTGCGTGGCCTTGTGCAGTTTTCATCTATAACAGCCCATGAATCCTCACCCAAACCCTGGGAGGTAGGTATCATCCCCATTTGTGTCGGATGAGGAATAGGAGGCTCAGAAAGGTTAGGTAGTTTGTCCAAGGACACAGAACCAGGAAGTGGCCAGCTTGGACCGAGAGCTTAAGTCTCAGACTCAATCCTTGCTCTCTCTCCTATGCTGCCTCTGGGAGGAAGGAGGGAGCACCAGTAGAAGCTGCAGTCCTCACACTTCCTGCCCTGGCGGCCCAGCAGGCACCAAGAGAAGCCAGCCCCTACTCACAGACCCTCCCCACCTACCTTGGGAGGATGCATCAGTGGATGAGATTAAGACATAAATACAAAAATAAATAGCAGGGCCAAGTCCCCAGCAGCAAGGATGTGCCATCTCCATGCTGCAGGAAGGTTCACTGTGCCATTTACAGCTGCTATGGGAGGAAGCCCTGGGGGACCTGGGACAATGGCTGCCAAAGGCTGGAGTGGGTGGGCTCAGTGGGCCCCTTCTGGGTCTCACAGATTCAAGAACAAAATGTCTGGAGCAGGCAGCAGCCGTGGGCACAGGCACCGTCCTCCTCCATCTGCTCATTTTACCGGTGTTTGTGATCCAAGAGGGATTCAAAATCGGGGGAACATACAAGTTTGTGCTTCACGTGTCCCAGGACTGTCATCTCCCCTGTCCTACTGTCTCCAAGGCCCACGGACACCAGCTCCTGCCAATGGACAGAGACAGTGATGAGAACCACCACCACGTGCCCAGCATGTAGAGCTGTGAATGGGGACATGATACTCCCAGAAACCCCCTCCCTTATTTAGCACTGGCTCTTCAATCCTCCTCCACTCCTTAAAGGGTCCCTCCCTTGCCCTAAGGAGGCTCTTACCTGCAAGAAGGAGCAGGCTGTTCCCATGGTCACGTCCAGAGTCACCTTGCCCAGGAGGAGTTGCACCCTTCCAGACTTGCGGATGAGTAGCTTGCCAACCTGACCCTCTGTCAGGTCAGCCAGGGTACAAGCATTCTCTGCCAGCTTGGCTTCCTGCGCAGAAAACCAGAAGATGGACACTGGGCTAGGAGCTCTTTCCTCCATCTTTCATGAACCCCCTTCTACTCCCCAAGAGTAAGGCACAGCAAAGGTCAGAATGAGCTCCCCAAAGAGTGCCTTATCCTAGGGCTGTCGGCTATGGTTAAAATACAAAACCCATAGCAAACAAATACATAAATGGACAAAATATCAGTTAACTGCTGAAGCTGAGTTCTGGTACATGGCAGTTTATGTTCTCATTTTCTTTTGAGACAAGGTCTGACTGTGTCACCCAGATTGGGGTGTGGTGGCGCGATCTTGCCTCACTGCAACCTCTGCCTCCTGGGCTCAAGCCATCCCCCCACCTTAGCCTCCCAAGTAGCAGGGACTACAGGCACATGCCACCATGCCTGGCTAGTTTTTGTATTAGCCATGGTGCCACCATGTTGCCCAGGCCAGTCCCGATCTCCTGGGCTCAAGTGATCCTCCCGTCTCGGCCTTCCAAAGCGCTAGGATTAGAGGCATGAGCCACTGCACCTGGCCATATGTTCTCTCATTTGTATGTCTTTGAAATATTTCCTTATAAGAAGTGAACACACACCCCTGCAACACACACACACAATTGGGGTTGGAGGTACAAAGACCCATGGCTCTTACAGGCATCAAGAAAAACTACCCATTATTGTCCCATTTCAGCCAGGGTGGCACGGCTTTGCTTCCCACTGCAGGTCACCACTTCCCCTCTTAGTCCCCGACTCTATCCCACAGGCCTCTGCCTGAGCATACCCGGTCTTTCTCCTGCTTGATGAGCATCATCTGTCCATCCTCACCCTGCACCTCTGTCTTGATGGGCTTGATGTCCTGGGTGGGCGGCTGGCCAGGGAGGGTGTCTGGCAGCTGCAGAAACAGCAGTTCCTCCTCCTTGGTGAGGCTCAGCTCCCTGAGCAGCTCTGCCACGGATACATCCTTTGGGAGGCCTGGGGTCTTCCTGGCTGCTTTGGGAGGAGCCTTCATCTTGGCCTCTTCCTCATCTCGTGGCTCCTCTTTCACTGCCCGGGTGATAGAAATGGAATGCTATCATGTGACCACCCTCCATACCAGCTCACTGTTACCAGCCCTTTGCCCCCGTCTGCTCCACTATCACTCAGCCAGGGAGTGGGAAGGCGGCACTGGTTATAGAGAGGGGCAAGAGACAACATGTTTAAATCTCGCCTGACTTATCTAAAAAGCGACATCTGAGGCTGGACCCACCGCTCCATGCCAACACAGGAACCCTCTGCGAGGGAGAATCGGGCATCTTTGTTCAGCTCATGTATCTTACAGCCAGGATGGGAGGACCTGCTCATGAGCAGCAGTCAGGGACACATGCAAAGGATGCCTGATGCACAGGATTCCTGGGGAGCAGCCATGGAATTGGAGATGAGAAGTTAACTGACAAGAGTACCTTTCACAGCAGGTACGTCCACCTCCATGTCTTCTTCCTTGGGGCCAGTCAGCCAAGGTTTAACATCTGGTTCGTCATTTTCTTCCTTAAAAAGCCACCCCGAGTGAGCCAGCGGCAGCTGCACAGGCATATTTCGAGTGTCGTTCCTCAGCCCGGGGTCATCGAGGAACTGCCAAAAAGAGTCTGCGTCATCCAGCCTGCTAGCACATGCACCTGGATCAAAGTCTGCTTTAGTCCCTTTCTAACCAAAGATTCCTGCTGCTCCCCAGGATTCCAGGACATCAGTGAGCTCTTCTGCCCCTCACCTGGCTCCCCAGAAGCCCTGTTCTACAGCCACAAGGAAGCCCCTTCCCCACAGCCTCCTGGTACCCACATCGTCCTTCTCCAGCATGCGCAAGATCTGTTTAGTTTCTTCGTCTGTCTCTCTCTTCTCTTTTTTGATGTTGATGATGTGAGAAGGTCCCATGTCTGATACATCCACTGTCTTATCCCAGTTCCCTGTGGGAAATCACCCAGGTCACTAGGGATCAATAAGGAAGATGCCAACAGCAAGGAAAACTGAACTGGGAGCGGGGAAATTCCACTGCTCTCGCCCTTCTCTTGGGCAGTCTGAACTGAAATTCACTGATTCCTTCCTTGTACCTTTTTTCTTCATCATTTCGGCTGGGCCCTGCTCAAAGATGGAGTGAGACTGGATCACTTCTGGGCGGCCTCGTCCTCGTCCATGCCCCTCTCGCTGTCGGTCTCTGTCCCTTTCACGCTTCTCCTTCTTGACAGTTACTTCTTCCTTGGGCCTGGAAAAAAGAATGGATTAAGGGAAACCACTCACTCATTGTGTCTCCAAAAACTGGCCTTACTCTCCCATACCACTTCACTCCAAGACAGCGGAGAGTTTGAGCCAATAATTACACCATGAGAAGCAGAATCCAATCCTAATTCTAGCACTTTTCTCACTTCCTTGATGAGGCAGGATTTTTTCAGTTTGCTTTACTTTACGTTCTTGTCCAAAAATGTAGATTTTTGTTTGCATTGGGACTGAAAGCAGGAAGGCAGAAATGCAAAGGAACTTCAGGGAAAGCGTGATACATCTTTGTTTAAACTATTGGCTCTCAACTCGGGCCATCAAAGAGAATCACTCCATTCTACTGCCAACAAGTTAAATCACAATTTCTAGAGATGGAACCCTAGACACCAGTATTTTTTTTTTTTAAAGCTTGCACATTAGAATCACCTAGGAGCCAGGGTTGAAAATCACTAGTGAAAAGAACTACAGATATAAATTTAAATTTTGGAGCCACAAACCTAGTTATTTCTCCCCAAAGCCCCAAATTCAGAGCAAGTAAATAAGGGGCAAGTATTCAGAAGGACTAGCTACTTACTCTTCCTTGATCTTCCGACTGATGATATTTGGGGTGAAGGTTTTCTGAAAGCAAAATACAGGAGTCACTGATGTGTTAGGTTCTGACCCCAAAGTACAGAGGAAAATAAAAATTCCCAACGGGCATCTTCTACAGACCATGGCCACCATGACTCTCTTTGGCACATTCCACAGTGCTGTCAGTTTTATAGATACACGTGTGCCTGAAAAGGAGGAACATCATGGTGTGGTGGCAGTGGAGTTATGCATAGAAGAAAGGGGCACCAAAAACCATTTTTAACCAGTAGCCTTAGGAAAGAAGATCCTGAAAGAAGGTCCTCTGGGACTTCTAAAAGCAAAGGAATTTCTCTGGTCTCACCTCTTATCTTCAAACTGCTATAGAGACCACTCAGTATCATGGGGGAACATCTCTAGCAGCAAGGCCTAAGTAGGGAAGGCCACAGATCTGCCAACACTCTCAATCAGTGTTGGCAGTGTTTTTCCATATTTTCCAAGGCAAAGTTAGGTTTTTAAAGACTGCTTTATGTCCGGGCGTGGTGGCTCATGCCTGTAATCCCAGCACTTTGGGAGCCCAAGGCAGGTGGATCATGAGGTCAGGAGTTCAAGATCAGCCTGGCCAAGATGGTGAAACCCCGTCTCTACTAAAAACTACAAAAATTAGCCAGGTGCGGTGGCAGGCCTCTGTAATCCCAGCTACTCAGGAGGCTGAGGGAGGAGAATCGCTTGAACCCCGGGAGGTGGAGGTTGCAGTGAGCTGAGATGGTGCCTCTGTGCTACAGCCTGGGTGACAGAAAGAGACTCTGTTAAAACAAAACAAACAAACAAACAAAACTGCTGTATTTGGCGGGGAGCGGTGGCTCACGCCTGTAATCCCAGCACTTTGGGAGGCCGAGGTGGGTGGATCACAAGGTCAGGGGTTCAAGAACAGCCTGGCCAACATGGTGAAACCTTGTGTCTACTAAAAATACAAAAATTAGCTGGACATGGTGGCGGGCATCTGTAATCCCAGCTACTCAGGAGGCTGAGGCAGGAGAATCGCTCAAACCCGGGAGGCAGAGGTTGCAGTGAGCCAAGATCATGCCATTACACTCCAGTTTGGGGGACAAGGGCGAGACTTCGTCTCAAAAAAAACCCCCAAAAACCTGCTTTATTCTTCTGTCATCCTGACCCCACCCCTTTCTGGGCTACTCTTGACATCCACAGTCATTATACACATGGGAGAGCCCACAGAGCCTCGAATGCCATGCCTAGGATTCATGATACTCTAGATAACAAGTTTGCACACTGAGATGGTGAATTCTGAATGCTCTAAGACTGTGAAGTTTATGCCTGCCTGGCTTTCATGGGTTTCTTAAAGATGTCCAAACACAGAATAAGAGTAAATAAACGCTGTTCAAATTGCTTTTGAACGACTTATTAGGATTCTCTGTCTTTCAACCACCTCTGGGACTCATTTCAACATTTTGTACTCAGTACCTAGATTTGAAGATAGGACAGGCTCCCTAGAATTTAAAGAGGGGTAGCCTTGAGGCCCAACGACACTCCTGACACATAGTAGGCCCTGCACAAACATCAGTTGAATGCCGGGGCTTGGAATTCAAGGTAGTTGAGTTTCTTTAGAAACGCGCCGTTGGATACCTTCTTGACTCCCCCGAGGGTGAGGTCCCTGGAACGGATGGAGGGAAGGCGGCCGGGGGTGAGAGGAGGCGCCGGCCGCCGCCCGATGAGCCCCCGGGCCCCAGTCAGGAGGGGTCGGGGCCCTCCCGGAGTGCTGGGCTCGCCGGCGGCGTTTCCTTCCGACATGTTGCCTGGGAGAGAAGGGGCGACGAGATTACCAGAGTGGACTGACACGCGGACCCTGGCGGAACCCAACCCCCTTGCTTTCCGGTCCCCCAGTCGGTGCGTCCCTCCAGTGGCCTCTCAGCTCCTCCCCTCCCACGTGGCGAGATTCCCGGGACCACCCAGGTGAGAGCCTTTGGCTCGCGACACGCCCTCTCTCCAGGAACCCCGCCCAGGAACCAGGCAGGGACGCACCCGGGTCGCGGCTCCACACCGCGCGTCACCACTTCACCTGCGACGCGACCCGCTGCCAGCTTTAGGTCTCCGCACGGGGCGGAAGTCTGCGTGGCACCGCCTGGGCGCCGCCATCTTGGCACGGGGCGGATGTGACGTTTCGGGGGCGGGACTGGGCCACAGTATTTATCAGGCGGCGCTTCGCTCCTCTCCGCCTTCTCTTCCCGGTTCTTCCCGGAGTCGGGAAAAGCTGGGTTGAGAGGGCGAAAAAGGATGAGGGAAGCGGTCTGGGCTACGCTATGTGGCGGTGCTCGGGGGTCTTGGCCCCCGGGCGGTGGCGTGGAGGTGCCGAGATCAGGGTGGCGGGTCTTGTCGGCCGCCAAGCCGCAATATGAGGCTTCGCCTCGGCGGAGCCCCTGGGAGCTTGGGGGTAGCTGCTCGGGATGGGACGAGGGGCGCGGCACAGAGAGCGAGACCTGGACTTAGAGTCGGGGAGTCTTGGGCCGTGCCGAGCCCTGTCTGCGGGTTCTCCATGGTGACCTTGGAGTGGTCACTACCTCCGGGCAGCGACCTCGCCCACTCTCGGGGACCCCTTCCCTGTGCTCCTGGTGGAGTCCTGGGGTGAGGCTGTGAGGGCAGCGTTGGAACAGCCGCAGTGGACCAACTGGTGCCCAGTCACACCCGCTTGGGATCACGAAGGCGGTGGCCCTCGGGTGCGCTCTTAGTCAAAGCCTGGACAGAATCGGAATACCAAGTTTGCTCTACTGCTGGAGGAATTTAAAGAACTTTTATTGACTCCAGCGTTTGTGATATAAAAAGTGTCGTTTAATGTTATCTCCCATCCCCCCCCCCCGTATACGGGGAGTTTGAGGAAAGGAAATCGTTTCTACCAGAATGCCACGTAGAGTACTACTATTAAAAATTTTGTAATGTGTCTAGTAGTCTTCACAGAGTTGTATCACAATTTCATATCCTTTTTCTTTTCTTTTTTTGAGGCGAGGTTTCTGCATACTGCAACCTCTGCCTCCTAGCCTCAAGCCATGCTCCTACCTCAGCCTCCCAAGTAGCTGGGACTCTAAATACATGCCACCACGCCCGGCTAATTTTTTTTTTCTTTTTTCTTTTTTTTTTTTTTTTTTTGTATTTTTGGTAGAGACGGGATTTCACTGTGTTGCTCACACTGGTCTTGAACTCCTGAGCTCGAGTGATGCCACCCGCCTCGGACTCCCAATGTGCTGGGGTTACAGGCGTCAGCCACTGCGCCTGGCCTGTATCCTCCTTTTTCAAATAACATTTCTCTGTTACGGCATCAAAGACTGCATAGTTCTCCAGTGGCTGTATCATGATTTAAGTATTTCCCTGATTGTTTCTTTTTTCCCTGTTTTAAATAATGCTGTAGTGAATATCTGGTACATTCGACGTGCTTTTTTTCGATTTTGTTTTCGTTTTTGTTTTCTTTCGGATTATATTCCTGGGATAGATTTCCCATCCTGGGATAACTGGCCAAAAGAAGGTGGGTTTTTTTTTTTGTTTTTTTTTTTAAAGTAAATATTTGGGATGGGCTTGGTGGCTTACGCTTGTAATCCCAGTGCTTTGGGAGGCGGAGGTGGGAGGATCGCTTGAAAGGCTCAGCAGTTCGAGATTGCAGTGAGCTACGATCCAGCCCCCACACTCCAGCCTGGGTGACACAGCAAGACCCTATCTCTAAAAACATTTTTTAAATTAAACTTTTTATTTTGAGAACATGGTAGATTCATGTAAAGTTGTAAGAAACCATGTAGAGAGATCCCAAGTATTGTTTACTCATTTTCCCCCAGTAGTAACATCTTGCCATCAGAATATTGACATTGGTGCAGTCAAGATACAAGAAGTTTCCATCACCACAAGGATTCCTCTAGTTGCCCTTTTATAGCCACACTTCCCTCCCCCCACCTCCTCCCACCACTAATCTGTTTTCCATTTCTGCCATTTTGGTATTTCAAAAGTGTTATATAAATGGAATCGTACAGTATGTGACTTCTTGGGATTGCTTTTTTTCACTCGGCATTGTTCCCCGGAGATCATCCAAGTTGTTGCGTGTATCAATAGTTCGTTCCCTTTTATTGCAAAGTATTCATGGTTTGTTTAACCATTCACCCTCTGAAAGACATCTGGGTGGTTTTCTGTTTGGGGTTATGGATAAAGCTGCTGTGAAAATACATGTACAAGATTTTGTGTGAACGTAAGTTTTTATTTCTCTGGGATAATTGCCCATGAGTGCAATCATTGGGTCATATGGTAGTTGTATCTTAGTTTTACAAGAAACTGCCAAGCTGTTTTCCACAGTGGCTGTACCATTTTGTACATGCACATTTTATGGTTCTTCATTCATATTGCTAAATTGCTTTCAAAAAGGATTGTGCGGCCGGGCCTGGTGGCTCACGCCAGTAATCCCAGCACTTTGGAAGGCCAAAGTGGGCAGATCACTTGAGGTCAGGAGTTCCAGACCAGCCTGGCCAACATGGCGAAACCCCGTCTCTACTAAAAATACAAAAATTAGCTGGGTGTGATGGTGCATGCCCATAATTCCAGCTACTCGGGAGGCTGAGGCACGAGAATCGCTTGAACCGGGGAGGCGGAGGTTGCAATGAGCTGAGATCACGCCATTGCACTCCAACCTGGGCGACAGGGGGACAGTCTGTCTCAAAACACCAAAAACAAACAAAAAAACTCCACAAAAAAAAAAAATAAAAAAGATTGTGCTGAAATACATCAACACTAAGAATGTGTGTATATACAATAATCAAACGTATACACATATACACACATTGTGGGCTTCTGATGGAGTCCTGGGTGAGGCTGTGTGGGCAGCCTTGGAACAGCCACAATGGGTCAACCGGTGCCTAGTCACACCCATCCTGGGCTCACAGCAGTGGCCCTCATGTGCACTCTTGGTCAAAGCCTGGAAGGAATCTGAATACCAAGTTTGCTCTACTGTTGGAATTTAAAGAACTTTTATTGGCTAGGTGTGGTGGCTCATGCCTGTAATGCCACTCTTGGTCAAAGCCTGGAAGGAATCTGAATACCAAGTTTGCTCTACTGTTGGAATTTAAAGAACTTTTATTGGCTAGGTGTGGTGGCTCATGCCTGTAATGCCAGCACTTTGGGAGGCCGAAGTGGGCTGATCACGAGGGAGATTGCAGTGCGCCAAGATTGCGCCATTGCACTCCAGCCTGGGCGACAAGAGCAAAACTCCATCTGAAAACAAACAAACAAACAGGCTGGGTGCAGTGGCTCACACCTATAATCCCAGCACTTTGGGAGGCCAAGGTGGGCGGATCACAAGGTCAGGAGTTCGAGACTAGCCTGACCAACATGGTGAAAACCCATCTCTACTAAAAATACAAAAATTAGCTGGGCGTGGTGGCATGCGCCTGTAATCCCAGCTACTTGGGAGGCTGAGGCAGGAGAATAGGTTGAATCCGGGAGGCGGATGTTGCAGTGAGCCGAGATCACGCCACTGCACTCCAGCCTGGGAGACAGAGGAAGACTCCGTTTCAAAAAAAAAAAGAACTTTTATTGACTTTGAAATTTATTGACTCCGTACACACACACACACACACACACACACACACACATACACACACACACACACACGCACAGACAGGTAGTACATAAGAATATATAATTTTAGGGTGTAGTGGCACCCACCTGTAGTGCCAGCTACTTGGGAGGCTGAGGTGAGAGGATCGATTGATCCCAGGAGGTGGAGGCTGCAGTGAGCTCTGATTGTGCTACTGCACTCCAGCCTGGGAGACAGAGGAGACCTTGTCTCAAAAAAACAAACAAAAAAGAGAATATATAATTTTTTGTCCACATCCTTTTGAGTATTGGCTCTTAAAATTTAAAACTTTGTTTGCCAATGTACTAATATATTAATATTTTGTTATGTTGCTTTCTAAACAGACCTTTTTCAACTTCTTTCTGCATGTTGATTTTACAATAATCAAACCGAACCTATACCCTTTTCCTGTTCCCTACAGAGCTACACGCAACAGCCCTTAGTTTCTAATTAGAGCACTGGGTAAAATAGCTTTGATTTCATTCTGTTGGGCTTTGAAGTTCACCAAGTAGTAGCTTTCCTGGTTTATTTTGTATTTTTAAAAGTACACTCATTCATTTTAGAAAATTTGCAAAAATTTAAAAGGCACTGAGAAGAAAAAGCTATCCATTATTATCCCATCAAATGTTTTATATACTTGAAGTCATTTTTCTATACATTTAGATTTTTTTTTTTTTTTTTTGAGATGGAGTCTCGCTGTGTTACCCAGGCTGGAGTACAGTGGCACGATCTCGGCTCACTACAAGCTCCGCCTCCCGGGTTTACGCCATTCTCCCGCCTCAGCCTCCGAGTAGCATGGGACTACAGGCGTGCACACCCGACGCCCGTTAATTTTTTGTATTTTTAGTAGAGACAGGGTTTCACCATCGTTAGCCAGGATGGTCTTGATCCTGACCTCGTGATCCGCCCGCCTCGGCCTCCCAAAGTGCTGCGATTACAGGCTTGAGCCACCGAGCCCGGCCGCATTTAGATTTTTTTTAATTGGGATATTTTACACAGGGGTCTTTTAACATTTTTATCTATTTATTTATTTTGAGGCCAGATTATGAGACTGGCTAGTTTTTGTATTTTTGGTAGAGTCGGGGTTTTGCCATGTTGCCCAGGCTAGTCTTGAACTCCTGGGCTCAATCCATCTGCCCACCTCTACCTCCTAAAGTGTTGGGATTACAGACGTGAGCCACTGTGCCCAGCTGAGCTTAGTTTGTTGTCAATAACGTTTTATTTTCACAAATATCATAATAAAGACAATAATCTCATTGTAATTTAACAAACTCTTAAGAACAAATACAGTCTTCTAGGTCTAAATGCAGGTTTAAAAGGTATAACAGATTCTGTCAAAAATCTGTTCTTGTGAATTTTTTTTTTTTTTTGAGACGGAGTCTTGCTCTGTTGCCCAGGCTCTAGTGCAATGGCATGATCTCGACTCACTTGCAACCTCTGCCTCCCGGGTTCAAGCAATTCTCCTGCCTCAGCCTCCCAAGTAGCTGGGATTACAGGTGCGCGCCACTACGCCCGGCTACTTTTTGTGTTT